GGATGTTGTGGAACTGGAGAAAGTGCAGCGAAGGGCGACTAAACTGATAAGAGGCATGGAGGAGCTCAGCTATGAAGAAAGATCAGCTGACCTGAATTTGTTCTCTCTGGAGAAGAGGCGAATAAGAGGGGACATGATCACAATGTATAAATACATAAATGGTCCATATAAAGAGCTTGGTGCAAATTATTCATGTTAAGGTCACTGCAAAGGACAAGGGGGCACTCTTTATGTCTGGAGGAAAAGAGGTTTAACCTTTGCATACGGAAAGGATTCTTCTTCACAGTAAGAGCTGGGAAAATGTGGAATAGACTCCCCCAGGAGCTAGTTCTAGCTAGCTCAGTTAATTGTTTAAAAAAACATCTGGATGTATTCTTAAATGCACAGAATATTACTGGATATTGAGTTCTTATTGGTATAGTAAGCATCAGAGATTGTTGATCCAGGGACTATCCGATTGCCTTATGGGATCAGGAAGGAATTTTTTTCCCTTGTTGGAGCAAATTGAACCATGCTTTATAGGTTTTTTTTTGCCTTCCTCTGAATCAACTGTATCTGTGGGCATTGCGTTCTGTTTAGGCTTTTATTCTCTTTTTTTTTTTTTCTCTGCATCTCTTTAGGTTGAACTCGATGGACTTGTGTCTTTTTTCAACCTGACTAACTATGTAACTATGCAAGTAAACAAAGCCAAGTTAAAAACATGCTGCTATACTTACTTTTGGGTGAACGCTCCTTCCCCTCCGCTGGTGCCAGTGTACTATACATACACAGTACACACCAGCGCAGCCCTGAGCTCTGTATTTAGAATTTTAGGGAGTTAGTGATCTTAGCCCCCAAAAACTGAAAGGCACTACTCAACTACAAAACACGTATGGAACTATGAAAGGCTGTAGGTCAAAGCTGGCTGGGGATGAATATAGTCAGGAGACAAGCTGAAGGTTTATGCAGGCATCAAAAAAGGCAGAAACTAAGAACAATCCAAGTTATAACAGGTCAGCATTTTTAGGCACATCAGAGACTGGTTATTGGACACCTCCTTTTATTCCAATACTCCCCTAGAACAACAGCTGGTTTAGTATTCTAAGAGGGTGGCAACACGTCAGATCCAATATCATTAGTGAATCGTGGCGCGAGACACAATTCAAACTGCTTCACAGGGCCTATTATGCTTTTAACTTTGCTCCGGTCTCTTCATCACCTGACTGACTACAACATTGCCCCCAGTGTGACATTCACCACCCAGACTTTATACATTTGATCTGGTCATGTCCGCAGACAAGTTCCCTGTGGCGCAGGGTAATCGACTACATGAATTCTCTGTCAAGAGTAACTTGAGAACCTCACCCTACACTCTGCCTGCTTCATGACATACCTCATAGGCTTCCTTCTCCTGTTCATTCCATCTCATGTTGGGAACACCTATGCATGTTAGCCTCCAAAAAAATTATCATCACTAACTGGATACTGCCAAAGGTCCCTACGACGGAGGACCTACAATCCCCTCTACATAAGCTTATGCTTCTTGATAAGGCAGACACACACAATGAGGAGAAACGCATAGATCGCCTTTTATCCACGTGGTCTTCCTTCTTTACTGCGACTATCCCCCTTAACCAGCTCCAAAATATCATGCGGTGCTTCAAAAACTCCAAATGGTACCTTACGGCCAACCTCTCCGATTCCCTGGGGGGACGAGACGTACTCTAACCCCACCAGGACGAAACCTCACCTAAATTTCCAGTAGGGGGCACATCTTCATGGTAGCCCCTCGTTGACACTCCCTCTGCTTACTTCACGACACTCCGACAATGGACCCCTTGACGTCCTACCTGTCCCACATATTCCTTGTTCCTGGTAATTTCCAAACGATGCTATAGTTGCTAAAGAAGGTAATGGCAGTACAGCTGGCCCTCTCTGCCCCTACTCAGTGACGCACCAAACGTATCTTCTATTTTCTTTTTCTTTCTTTTAAGGATGTTAAGCATTAAGTACTAAGATTTAGTTTCTCGTTAGAAATGTTAATGCGGATTCATGATATTGATGGAGATGATTGTCATGTGTAATGCCTCCTGAATAATTGATATACCTGCCTCTGTTCATAGGATCGTATGGGGCACATATACCTGTATTGTTGTAACATCACTCATCTTGTAACCCTTTACTCATTTTTTGCCGTGCATCCTTTGAAATACCAATAAAAATTACATGCACAAAAAAATAACAGGTAGAGGAGACAGGCAATAAAATAATCCAATTTTGATTCTCTACAGTACTTCCTCTAATGTCCCCTCAGTCTCTTGGGTCCATGTTTATCATAAACGTGTGAATGGAATTTCTTTGCCAAAAGGGAAGCCTGATATTCAGATTCTGGAAACCCCAACCCTTCTTTAGGGCTAAATGTATGTTTACAGGAACAGGAGAAGAAAAGTATTTGTGCCAGGAACAGTCGTGTACAATGTCTAGAGACCCCAGGAACGGTCTCATTTAGAAGGACATATCCGGGATCCTTAGGGACTCGCACACCCGTGACCTGGGCAATCAGGTTAAGAACCCTTCCCCAAAATCCCCAGATGCGAGGAAACGTCCACCACACATGGTGCATGGTGCCCCCAAGCTCACATCCTCGAAAGCATAAGGATGATGATCCTGGATAAATGGTGGCGAGTCTAGAGGGCACCAGATACCACCTAGAGAAGACTTTAAAGTTCGCCTCCAACAATGAAGCGTTAAGCAGACCCTGAGTTGCCACCTTGGAGCGACGACTCCATGCCTCTTCAGACACAACCATATTCAAATTTTGTTCCCACGACAACATATATGGCTGCTTAGAGGGGGATTCTAGCAATATGGAATAGAGCAGGGAAATGGCCCCTCTCTGATTGATAGCCTGAGAGCACCAGCGTTCGTAGGGGCTGAGGCCACTACCAGATTTGTTTTGTGCAAGTATAGTATGCAAAAAATTAGTAATTTGATAATAGCGAAACAACTCAGATGAAGGCATGCCCAAAATGATCGCTGCAATATTCTGCAGTCAGAGGTTTCCCCATCTTGAGGTATTGACCAATTCTATACAAACCCTTGACCCTCCACCATTGAAATAGTTTGGGGTGAGTACCGGGCGTAAATGCCGGGTTCTGATACAGGGGAGCAAGGGGAGTGTGGGGTGAGCTAATGTTTCCATGTGTTTTTACACGGTCCCATAGGGCCAGAGAGGTAGAGAGGGTGGGGGCCATAATAGGTGGGCGCAATCTAGAGGGTAACCATTTCAATAGATCCAAAGGCATATCTCTCGCCGCCTTGGGTTCCATAAGGACCCAATCCGGGGGTTCCCCCCAGTATACAGGTGAAACTCGAATAATTAGAATATCGTGCAAAGTTCATTTATTTCACTAATGCAACTTAAAAGGTGAAACTAATATATGAGATAGACTCATTACATGCAAAGCAAGATAATGCAAGCCGTGATTTGTCATAATTGTGATGATTATGGCTTACAGCTCATGAAAACCCCAAGAACCCCAAATCCACAACCTCAAAAAAGTAGATTATTACATGCAATCAATAAAACAAGGATTGTACATAGAACAATATCGGACCTCTAAAAAGTACAAGCATGCATATGTACTCAGTACTTGGTTTGGGCCCCTTTTGCAGCACTTACTGCAATTACTTTTGCACAATATTCTAATTATTCGAGTTTCACCTGTATATAGCAGATAATTGAGCTATACTTGCGTCTCGGTAATATTGATGTATATTTGGAACCCCTAACCCTCCCGATTCTCTAGTACTATAGAGCGTGATCCTAGGTAAACGATGACCCTTACCTCCCCATATACATTTCACCAGGCTAGATTGAAAGGTAGCCAATTCACATCTGGGGACAGGGATAGGAAGAGCCCTAAATAGATATAACAGGCGAGGGAGGAGAGTCATTTTAATAGCGATTATTCTCCCAAGCAAAGAGAGGTTGTATGAGGACCACCTATCTAAGTCACCCTTTCATTTCCTAAAAATAGGAGGAAAGTTTGCGTGATATAGAAGATCGAAAGAGGGGGTAAGATTAATCCCCAGGTAGGGTAACGTAGTAGATGGCCATGAGAAAGAAAAATCAGCTTTTAGTATGGTCACTAGCTCAGAGGGCAGATTTATATTTAGGGCAAGAGACTTAGCTGCATTTATATAAAGCCCAGACACCTTTGCGAAACTATCAAGAGAGGCCATTACATTAGGCAAAGTGATCAGTGGGTATGTAAGGAACAACAATAGATCGTCTGCAAAGAGGGTGCACTTGTGTTCTCTATCCCCACAATGAACCCCTTTAATATTAGGATTCTCCCGTATAAAAATGATAAGGGGCTCAATCGCTAATGCGAATAGTAGAGGGGAAAGGGGGCAGCCCTGTCTAGTACCCTTATGAATTGAAATTGGGGCTGACTTAAATCCCTGCAATAATAATAGCTGAGTTCCGTAGTAAGCGAATTAACCAAGCGCCAAAACCCCACTCTTCCAGAAGTGTGAAGAGATAAGTCCAGGATTTTGAGTCAAAGGCTTTTTGCAAATCGATAGATAACAGTAACCCAGTAGCGCCTGGTGTTCTGCCCCACCGAGACTTTAACAAAGATATTATATCGATTGCTCTGTGGATTTGATCTGGCCCTTGCCTCCCTTTAATGAACCCCACTTGATCTTTATAAATATAAGTGGCTAGGAAAAAATTAAGTCTACTAGCTAAAACTTTCGTGAGTAATTTAAGATCGTTAATTTAAGATCAAGGATATAGGTCTATAAATGGCTACTTCCCCTGGATCTTTATTAGGTTTAGGAATTAAGCTTAAGAACGCTTCATTCATATGCAAGCTCAGGGGGGCGCATGCGCTCAGCGGTACAAGATGGCTGCTCCTTGATACCGCTCCGCACTTCTTGAGCCGTGAGACACCCATATCTGCTATCGTTCGCCAGCTGGGTCGGTTCCCCAGGCAGATCAAGCACCTACTCACCCCCGGCATCCTGATGAGGTCCTCGCAGTCCAAATACAAGCGAGGCAAACAACCTCCTGAGACCCCTCGTACGCGCCGCGCTCTGGGCAAGATGGCGGCCTACATGATGACAAAGCAGCTCCTCGCATGTTGGCTGACTCCGAGGACAGCCAGGACCCGTTTGCTGAACATCTGTCGGGATCCCGAGGGTCACATGCCCCTGACCTCTTCGTGCGGATGCGGGACATGGTACGGGAAGAACTTTCCAAGGCCTCCGCAACCATAACCTCGGAGCTCCGGCGGGAAATCAGAGAAATCGGGCACCGTACAGCTTCCTTGGAATCGCGTATGGATGATGTGACCACCATTCTGGAAGGCCACGAAAAAGACCTGGAGACCGCCCAGACGGAACTTTCCCTTCTCCGTGACCAGCTGGAGGATCACGAGAACCGGGCCCGGCGCAGTAACATCCGCGTCAGGGGCCTCCCTGAAACCATCGAGGATCTTGTGGGCTCGGTCACCGCGCTGTTTCAGGAATTGGCCCCTGATCTTTCTGCGGACCGGTTGGAGATGGATCGCGTTCACAGGGCGCTCGGGCCCCAGAGGTCGGATGGACCGCCACGGGATGTGGAGGTTAAGCTACATTACTTCCGCACAAAGGAGCGACTCTTGCAGGCCGCAAGACAGGTACCGGCCTTGTCCTTCCAGGGTCACCCCTATAGCTTGTATTCGGACCTGGCCCCTTCAACCATCTTGAAACGCAGAGTCCTGCGGCCCTACCTGCAGGTTCTCCGGGATGCGGGCATCAACTATAGATGGGGGTTTCCCTTCCGTCTCCTCTTTACATACCAGGGGAAATCCTTCCAGCTCCGGTCTCCTGAAGACGTGCGTTCTTGCCTCCGAGAGATTGGCCTCCAGGTTCCAGCGGAGCCCCCTTCCTCTTCCCCAGGCTCGCAGCCTCGTCAACGGAATGGCCAGGCTTCCCAACGATCCCATTCATCACAGGGCCCACACGATCCTGGCCGCTCACCACGGAGATCCCAGGCCCTGCAACGTTTAGGCTCCCAAGTTTTTCGCAGTAAGCCCAACGGATGATTTATTTCCCTGCATTCAGCCCTTGCTGTTTCAGTCGTTTTGCCGTGTATGCCCAGACACCCTGACGACCCTTTACCGGGCAGGTATTGCTCCGTGCCTTCTAGGGTGGCTGCGTCTGGCTTACATGAGCATATGCTGACTGTCAGGTGCTCCCTTATTTTTATTTTTATTTTGCTTTTTGCATCACATGTGACCCCGGAGTCCGGTTGTGTTGTTTTGGTTTTTTTTTGTTGTTTTTTGTTTTGTTACTTGCCTTAGGACTTCCCGGAATGCCAATTGGAGCCCCATACCCCGACAGATGTTTTCTACCTGATTTGGGTCTCGTTTCGATCTGCTACGGCTTGACAGGACTGGCCAATGGAAGCTCCTAATGACTGCTCAACTGGACTCCCTCAACCCTCCTATGGTGGATTTCTCTCACTCTTATTTTTTCTTATTTTTCCTCCACTGTTTTAGTTGGCTAGATGTAATGCTTTTTATGTGCCTAGGGGGGCAGGGGTCTGCCCGGTGTCCACTTTGGAATGTGCTTCCACATTCCCCGCCCCGTGTTTAGAGACGAGCCTGTGTGCCTGTTGCTGGGCTCCTTCAACTACCATCATTACCGGGGCATATCCTTCTTATTATCTTTATTTTTTTTTGTCTAAAATTTAGTTGACACATTTAAATTTTTGAC